GATGTTCTGTTTGATGTTCTCTTGTTCTGATATTATCTTGTTCTGTCAGATGTTCTCTTGTTCTGTTTGATGTTCTCTCGTTCTGTCTGGTGTTCTGTTTGATGTTCTCTTGTTCTGTCCGGTGTTCTGTTTGATGTTCTCTTGTTCTGTCAGATGTTATAGAATAGAATAGAAACAGCCTTTATTGTCCCACGGATGGGAAATTCAAGTGTAACAGCAGCAACAGATAACAAGATAAAAAGGTTTCACACAAAAGTTCCTAAATGTTAATAAACAATTATTATGTTGTTCTCTTGTTCTGTTTGATGTTCTCTTGTTCTGTCAGATGTTCACGTGGACTTTGCTCCTGTTGGTCAGGTGGTGAGTGATGCGAGGCGGCTTTCGGATCTTCAGTGGTTCCAGTCAAAGTTCCCTCGTCAGACCCGCAGCGTCAGAGTTCAGTGTTCAGAGGAGACCAGAGCACAAAGGGGGTGGAGCTTTACACCAGGTAACCTGTGTGGCTTTGCATGTGTCAGCTGAGGAGAATGTGTGGTGGTTTACCTTCTGCTTGTTCACCTGTGGCAGGTGTTGATGATGCGGAGTCAGAATGTGGGCTGGACAGCGGTGTTGCATTTGATTGGATCATAACTAACGAGGCTGATGCCCCCCTGCTGGATGAGCAGCTGCAGCCCATCCTGAAGCTGGCTGAGGAAGCGGCGTCATGAGCCGATCACTGCTGATCAATAGATCTGTTAACGTCTGATTAGCTATTAGTATCAGCTTTATTTGAAACTAGGGATGGGGCCAATCCGATCCAGTATCGGGCTCCGATCCAACCTGCCGATATTTCCGATCCATGATGCACGTTGGCTTCAAACTATGGACTGGATTTCCTGAACGGCGGCGTGTCTCATGGACCCAGAGTAATAAGACCCGCCTCACATTCAGGAAATCCGGTCCATAGTTTGCAGCAGCTGCAACATGAGGACTGAGTTAGCAGCACTGTGGCTAACAGCTAACAAACTTTTCATCTAAACATGTCGCTGTGTGGAAGTATTTTACACTGAACACCACAAGACAAGACAGCATCGTGCACTGTCTGCAGAGCCACAGCGCCACATTAAACCGTGGTAAAGTTAGTTTTGTGTTGGACCTTCGAGCTCCGGGGCTTCAGCGGTCTGTTATTTTCGTTCAGTCCGGAGAAGGCAGTCTGATTTCGGTCAGCCGCGCTCAGTCTGACCCGCTCAGTCTGTCCGTGTCGGAGGAGGGGCAGACTGTGCACGGCTGACCCAGATCAGACTGCCTGCTTCGGACTGAACAAGAAGAAGACGTCGCTGAAACCACGGAGCTCTAATGTTTACAGAGAAGTTGCTAAACTTCATCATTAATGACCAACCACTATCAGTTGTAGAAAACAAAGGATTTCACAGCTTGATACTTGCAGTCAAGATCTAGTTTACCCTCCAGGAGATATTTATCAGAACAACAGGAGACACTCATAAAAAACATGTGATTTGAAAATTAAATATATTAAAAACATAAACAGCTACATTATAAAGTGATGTAAAATACTAAAAACAGGAACATGTCTGTTGGTTTATGTCATGAACTTAGCAGGTGTTTGAAGACATTTAACATTTTATTTAATTCATTTATTTAAATGAAACAAAATAAAAAAAAATCATCAAAAAGAAAACATTGAATGAAAAGAGTTCAGAAAGAAGCAAAAATTCTTATATCTGCCCCTTATAAAATATAAAATAACTTTAAACAATCACTTAAATTAATCACTTTAATATCCACTTTAAAACTAGGAATAAAAAGAAACATGTTTTGTGTTAGCAGGATTTAATTCTAACTTTAAAACTTATCCAACATTAATAAAACTTACCTCAAGTTGCCTTTTTGGACATGCATGCAGATATTTGTACACGTTGTACTTGAGAGCAGATTATCACAGCCTCGTATAAAATCAATGATCATGATATCAGAACTGGATCGGTATCGGCCGATACTCAGATCTACGTATCGGGATCGGATCGGAAGTAAAAAAAAAGTGGATCGGTGCATCCGTAGTTGAAACATCCAAAACTGAAACATTTACAATCAAATGCACTGAAGGTGTTCTTCTCCTGTCAGCGTCTTTCACAAAGCAGCTTAACTAACGAGTTACCCAACGAGATAACTTTAGCTTCAGTTTGGGATTTTCTGCATCACAAACATGGTTGTCCTTTTACCTGCTTCTGTTGCCATGGTAACCGCTAATGGAAGTTAACCTGATTTGGTATTACAGAAAGCAGGTTTGTTAATAACTCAAAGTTAACCTTGGAATTTAAACCTGGAACCTAATTCCAGAAATGAAAAAGATGAGTTTGCAGGGGAGAGGCGGTCTGGACACGTCTCACATCCAGAGACAGTCTGGTTGGAGCAACAGACCCTGAAGATGACCTGGATTCACCACCTCACCTGTTCTGTTTCACGTTTGAATAAATGCTTCTCAACCAAACTGAAAGATTCTTGTTTCCTTCCGTCTTGTGGAGCCATGAAGCAGAGCAGCAGCTTCAGAGCAAACGTCACCTGATCAAACTGTGTCAGTCAGAAGAAGCTGCTTCCTCACTTTCATTCACAGTTGATTTTAAAAGAGCTTCTAGAAAATGCTGCTCCGCTAAACTCCAAGAATTTCATTTGACCCGGAGACGTGTTCTGCTTTAAATCACGTCCCACAAAGTTCAGTCGGTCGTCCAGACGATTTCTGTGTTGAAACGTATCATCTTTCATCCAAAGGACTTCATCAGCCCGAGGAGCCACAACAAACTCAGTCCCACAGGCAGCACACCCACATCAACTGGTCAACCAGTTTGATGCTCTGAGTCCGAGAGGTTTAGTCATTTCAGCTACAACTTCATTCAACTTCATTTAGACGTTAATCCTGGAGGACTCGTTGACGAGAGACCAGATTAAAGAAAGATGACACGCCTGCAGGACCATGATGCAACACAACACACACAACACACACTGCAGATACACAACACACAGTGCAGATACACAACA